CAGCAACAATTCAAATAGTAAGTTGCGCAATAGATTGCTGCCATAAATTCAGTTTATCTACGGAAACTGCAGGAGTCAAAGCCTTGCCCTAGTTATTCATTCGCCTGCGTTTTCATCGTTCGACAAAGATTGTAGTTTTTATATTATTACTGTCTTATTTCCTCTTTTTCTTACTCGAAATTTAGATTGCTTAAATGGAATACTATCACCGGAAATCCCGGGAATTTTTCGGCTTCTTTGGAATTCAACGTGCCTAAGACGGAGGACAGGAGACGACAGAAAGCATTCTGGCGAGCCGGAAAGGCGCGGTACTGACAAGAACGAGATTCAATAATCGAACCAGGTATGAAAAGTTGATGTTGGACTCGTAGACCATGCACAGGAGACAGAAAAGGGATGATGAAGTGAAGATTGATATATCTGACACAAGAGAGATAAACAGTGAAGCAAATGATAAGCTTGCGGATAAAAACGAATCTATAAACACTTCGGATTTTTGTGTTGTGTTAAGCAATGAATATTTTCCAGCATTTAGAGTTTAAATGCTACTGTCTTTTGGAGTAGACTCTCAGTCAACTTTCAACCCTACACTGAAAAATAATGTTAGAAATATTGAAAATTGAAACAACACTAGAAATAATATAAAATATAATAAAATATGCACCATTCCAATCCAAAGTATTATTGGAATCTTTCATCCTCTTCTTGTCAGTTTATCCTTGTTATTACCTCCTCAGTCTCTTGGACACTAATAATATGTGGAATAGGCAAAAAAATTGCAGGAAGCAGGGATTTAGAACAGAGATTGACATGGTGCATATTACTAAGATTTTCTTCTTTCTGAAGAGATTTTCAATTTTTTTTCAGTGAACCGATCATAAAAAAAAGAAATGCTTATACATTAGACCATTGGTGTGATGATAATCAATAAGTCATACCTGGTATAATAGTAAGAATCAGTTGTATGAGTAAGTCAAGCTTACAATTTCTCAGACAACAGCTAAAAGGATCTTCGCTTTTTGGAGGGCCCGG